AACTTAACACAGCACTTCTACTTTTTGTTAGCATGATCTCGCCCTCGAGATAGGTAACTTGTCGTTCGTGCCCACAGTTGAGAGTCGAGGGCAGTCCCGGCACTAGATGTCGTAACTAATGTAGTTAGAAAAAATTCGATAGCTTCCTCATATTTAAAAGAATGATCAAAATGTACATGAATATTACTTCTGGTCAGGACCATGTAATCAAAACATAAACCAAAAATGAAAAAAAATTGACAACAATAAAGGTTAACGGAAATCCGAACACGTGGTACATTAAGGTTTAATCATGTCAATTTCAAAAAGAAAAGTTGAACATTATAAACAGATATAAAATGTTGTATACAAAATACAAGAAATTATAAAGAAATCCAAAGATTAAACTGCACACTTTCGTGACGAATGTTAAAATGAAGAAGACCGCTTTTCTCTTTTAAAAATTGCGTGGTTGCCAGCTCTCAAAAATGTGTCCATCATCGCAGGGTATGAGTATGGGACCAATTTTGATTATTTGAACATTGTTTAAAACCCTTGTTATTGAATAAATTAGATAAAATAAACTAGGGTGATAATGCAGTCGATGAAGAACGATTTTTGTCCATTTCTGGTCATCTATAATAAACACAATAGAATTTAATTTGTGGCCAAGACGGAAGTGACTGAAAAATACTGTTTCAGACATTCAATTTGCCTTTGCCATCGTTGCACTTTTCAAATCTTTACATTCATATCTGCTATAGGCTTTTACAATGAGAGAGGTTGAACGCCCTTTTTTTTCTTTAACTGGTCTACACACCCTACTGCTCTTTTATTAAATGATGGTTTGATTCCGGGATAGATTTAAACGTTGACGTACTTATATCAAAGAGTAACCATAATGTAATCTTTGCTTATATGATGAACACGTCTTTCGCTAATGTCAGTACTTTGGATTCTCAATCTGAAAATAAACTAGTGAAATTCTACAGTGAACACTTACGGAAGGTTTTTTCTAAGTCTTTTTCGTTTGCTGAAGTTGACGAACGCACTGTGCTGCGACATATTTCTAGAGTAAAATCTAAATCTGCAGGGTCAGATGGAATCACTATAAAAATGCTAAACTTGTGCTGTCCATATATTTTACCATACCTAACGTACTTAATAAATGTTTGCTTAAAGACTGGTACTTATCCTGATGGCATATGTTACCCCACTACCAAAGATCAGTAAACCAAGCACCGTCAATGATTTGAGACCAACAAGTATTTTGCCGGTTTTGTCAAAAGTTTTGGAGAATGCAATGTCAACAAATAAATGAGTTTTTAAAAGTTGAATCCATTTTACCAAATACCCAATCCGCTTTCAGGGTTGGATATAGCTGCTCTACAGCATTATTGAATGTCACTAATGATATCATTTGTTCTGTCGATCAAGGCGCACTTTCAGCTTTAGTTTTGCTTGATTTATCCAAAGCTTTCGATACGATAAACCACAAAATACTTATAAGCATCCTCAATTACATTGGCTTCAATCCCAATGCGACTCGATTGGTCGCCAACAAGTTGTACTAAGGGAGCATATCTCATCGGTTATTAGAATAACGTCGGGAGTACCTCAGGGATCGGTGTTGGGACCACTTTTGTTCTCTATATATACCAGTAATTTTCATCACATCATGTCCATCATGTCAAATTTCATCAATAGGCTGATGATGTTCAATTACAATTCAGTTTCTCTGCATCAGATTCTGTCAAGGCAATAAGCCATATAAACTCAGATATTAAACATATAGTTCATACGTCTGAACTACATGGACTACGGATTAACCCTTTCAAATCGTCCTTCATTATTTTTGGTCCACGTAGAACCAGAACTGGTCATATTAATAATTTAGCAATTAAAATAAAAGACATGGTTCTAGTACCAAAGCAGTGTGTAAAAAACTTGGGTTTGTGGATGGACTGCGCTTTGCGCTTTAAACAGCACGTTACCGCCATTAGTCGTAGGGCGTTTGGCAATTTAAAGTTAATTTTTAACCATCGGCAGTCTTTAAGCTATCATCTAAAGGTGCTATTGTGCGAGTCCTTAGTTTTATCTAATTTTAATTACTGCGACTCTGTGTGTATGGTCCTTGCCTTGACAGAAGTGATACTGATAGAATACAAAAAAATTTCAAAATTCGTGCCTACGTTTAATTTTTGGTGTAAAAAAATATGAACGCATATCTCACAAGATAAAAGAAGTCGGCTGGCTAAACATGGCAAACAGGAGATACCTGCACTCTGCCACTCTATTTCATAGTATTATTACCAATTGTACGCCTAGGTATCTGTACGAGAAGATTCAATTTATCTCTAACATTAGATTACATAAACTAATTACTCGACCTCTCCATCGAACCAAGATTTTCGAACGATCGTATGTTTATAACGTTGCAAAAATACACAATCTTTTGCCTACTGATGTTAAAATGCTTGGGATGGTTTCATTTAAAACTAAATTATTTAAAATTACACTGGATAGACAAAACATGAGCTTTAATTAATTTTTTTTTATATATTAATGTCATTCTCTTTGATATAAATTGTACGACATCACATCTCCTGTTTGATTTCTCTTTGTACACATCCATCATTTATATCTGATTTCCTTATATTGATTTTTGGTTCATTTAGAGTAAGACATAATGTTTTTATTTTTTATTTAAATTTTAATTTTTTGTTTATTCATCCACCTACTATAACTATAATTTTCCACTATCGTTATCTTTAAGTAATGTAATCTAAAGGGGTTAAGTGGAAGAGCAGAAGCGCGGGTTCTTTGTACCAAAGCATCTGAACTTCGCCTCATTAGATTAACGGGTAAACTTGTTAATTACATGGTTATAATAATACCTAATTGCCACTCGTTATTCTAATAAAGACACATTATTATTATTATTACTTAAAGTAGAAAGGTTCGTAGTATGTACATAGAATATTTCTGTGTGCTATGGCAGGTGGTCACTATGCCCCCCACAAAACACCTTTCCAGCTAGCTCAAAACCAATCAACGTTGAAATTTAGAATTGTAATTAGTTTCCTCGTAGGAATCCGGCTCCTGTCAGAATGAAAAATGCCAATGTTATCTTTAAATTATTAACTTGAGAGACTTAGTAGCCTCGATCGGCTTCCGAAGATTCGAAAGAATCAACCACACAAATTTTCACACCTGGCACAAATAGAAAAATCTGACATAAAGCTATCCGGATCGCACAATAGATTCAATAAACACACAATTAATTGATCGACAAGGACAAAAATTTATTCCGAAACACTTGAAAAGCTTACAAAGCTCGGTCGACAATTAAAATAATAGATCTGAAAGTTACTTATAGTTTTTTTTCTTAATAATCCAAATAATTTGGGCGTAAATGGTTTGCGATACCAGCCACACTTAACTCGCACACAAAGTTGATAGCTTCAAAACATCACAGAATTAGATGAGAAACAAAACTGGCTTGTTGAATTTTATTAGAAATGCTGTAGCTGTTCGGACGGTAGAAACTTTGATCTATTATGAAGATTTATTATGAAGATACGCGTTAAACTTCTCAAGCCACATTGGTTAACTTGATTCTGCACACCCTATTTCGAAACCGAGGAATTGCGTTTTCTCATAAACAGGCTGACTGCCCGTAAAAGATTCGCGTAAACAAATGGACACGCCCATCCATCGTCGCGAAACCGACAACAGCCGTTTTTTCGTTGTCTCCAGAAAACACCATAACATAAACTTCTTCTATATGAATTTTCAAATAAATCGCCAATCACGATCCCGTCCCCACTTCTCCAATACAGAACGCGCAATTCTATGCGTCTTCCTTATCAGCACCAGATGTGCATTTCCTTCATATTACCTAACTTTTGCCTGATATATGGTCCTTATCGAAAACAAATAAATAAAAACCATCTTATGTAAATTGAATAATTTACAAAGGCGATAAAATTAAAATGAAAAAATTATGCATCTAACAAATTTCTAAGAGCAAAAATGAACACTGAGACACTGAAGTAAAATAAACCAACTTTGTAATCCCTCAGATTTACATAATAAACTTAAATATTCTTGCATACAAGATGTCCCGTAATTATTTCTAGTTTAGACCTAAATAACGTCTTTAATGACGTTGTGTCTACAACATAATACATAAGAGTATTAAAACCACAGTAGATATGCCATTTTATTTCAGTCACAGCCAACTTTCCTTTGAACAAAGTAACCAAATTTTTAAAAAGTCAATTTTGAAAAATTGACTTTTAGTTGTTTGTAGTTATCTCATTGCCCTTATATCTAATAAATAGCAAATGACAGGACAGAAATACTGTACCTATATGTTACTTTTTTAGTTGGTCACGAATTCACGATTTATGTCTTCAAAACGCAAAAAAAATAAATTTGGATAAATTGGGAATGTTGAAAAATGTCAGGTTGCAACATTTTCAAGTGTCCAAGTGAAAAGATTCTCCGCGATTTTTCATAACCACGTTTCCACACAAAAATGTGTCAAAAGTACGAGTATTCATACTGCAATTTTTGTCCGAAACTCTGACATTTTTTCCAGTCACCTAGGCATATTTGAATTTTCCTAAACTGGACGTTTACACCTTGAGCAGCGAGGATCTTTTTGCGAATGTACCGATTATCCTGTCCAACGAAAGGCTGCGAACGTACTTAACGTCATTTTTTTTGGTGCTATCACACAATTAATTATTATTTGTAACCGGATGTAGGAAACACTACCAAGTAATAGGAGCAGTTGGTGTGTAGTCATCTATTTTGGAAAATTCTCCACTATCAAGGACAAACTTTTGCGGTTGACGAGGGTGTTTAGAATTTTTCGTGCTAATTCGCCAGACGTATTTATATTTGTATGGAAAAACTTCCGTGATAAGCGTAATTGACTAATTAGTTCACGCATCACGTAACTATCGATTGCTGAGGTCAATGCTTTTAAAGTATTAGGAAATGATCGACTGTTTACATTTTCTAATGGCGTTTTTAGATTAGGGTTCATAACAATTGACTTTCAACTTACAATATAAAGGTGTCATTGCGCCATTGTACCTACTGTATTTGCCTAATTCGTCATGTTTAAGATTGTTTTGGTACTGGTTTCAGCATTAACAGTCAATGCAGTGGTTCAAGTATGGATATTAGCAGTTTAGTTAGGTAACACATTACAAACTTTGATTCCGTTTTTCCAGGTGGTCCCGCAAAGTACCCGAGTGCAATGGGTCGAAACGTTCACTCCTCTTTTCAGTAAGTGTGTGGCGTACTCAAAGGTGGACTCGATTCTTGCCTACAAATCGGTTTCCGAGACGCTGTATTCCAATAACGACAACCTAAAGGTGTACTTTAAATGCGTCTTTGAAGGCTTAAATATGATAGATGCGGGAACTGGAAATTTCCTCGAAAAGGAGTTGTGTAGGCAACTTAAGGGCGTCACGCCAGAGATTGCAAAGAAGTGTGTGGAGTTGTACAAACACGACAGAGATATAGCTGATAGGGCTTTTAACTTGTACAGATGCATCGTCCAATGTCTTGCGAAGAGCACAATTGATGTAAAGGACCATTAATGTAAAATAATCATCTGCGTTGTTACCAAAAACTAATTTAACTTATTAAAGGTATTATTGCAATTTCTTCCGTATAGGTACGCCTAACCGTCATACTTTAATTGAAAAGTTAAAATCCGGCTGCTGTCTTGAAGCAACAGTATTGTAAAAGAAGGAAATAGGGTATTATATACAGTGTGTCCAAGATATGAATGAGGAGCATGAGGAAATCGGAAACCATAAAAAATACACTGTCGCTTAAATTAGAAACAAGTTAAGAAAGTAATCGTAAACGATTTAAAAAAAGGGCATTTCCACTTGCCTTCACTTCCCATTTGATTTGTATGATGCAACTTCTGTTAAAACTTCGTAAAAATCCGACTACAAATAAAAAAGTTAGCGCTGCATATGTACAATCCATTTTTGACTTACTTCAATTTATTTCAGTTTATCAGAAAAATCCTTCCCTAAAATTTTAGAAGAGTTGGTTTACAAATAACGAATGTGGGTCTGGGCATGCGCAATAATTGGTTTACGTGCTTTTAGACGGAAAATACTTATTCGACATTAGTTTTATCGTTATTTGAGGTGCCTATAAACAAAATTTCATTTAAATATCTTAAAAAAGAAAATTGAATTGCACAAATATAAGTTATCGTGCACAACTGCTCACGGACAGACAGACAGATGGACGAACAGACAGACGGACGGACAGGCAACAATACAACGATTTCGCGGATCATTAATAAACGGAAAAAGTTTAATGGTACATGAAGACACATAGAATTTTTACCATAACTTTTTTCTTATGCGCCACAGAAAAAATTCCTTCCTTGGTGCAAGCGTCGACACCATAACAAACCAAATAGTGAAAAAAGTAGAACAATAGCTCTTAAGATAAAGATCTAGTAGCGGCCGGACGGACGAACAGAGGGACTGCCAGACCGACGGACAGACGGACGGACAAATGAACGGACAAACGGGCGGACAAAGTGGCCACAATAGCGCATTTTTTTAAATTTTTGTGGAAATGCACTAAAAAGTTTCGTATTTTAGGACTTGGTAAAATGATGTTTTAAAACTGTAACCCAAAAGTACCAATTAATTCTCCAGACTATGGATTTACCGATTTACGAAAGCAATTAAAAAACGAAGCCTCATAGAAAAGAATACGTAGAGCTAAATGCATGTTATTCCTTTATATTCTAACAAAAGCATTATCCAGCTGGAAAATAATTTTGAAATTTTGACAACCAGTTAATTTCGGTGATACGCAATGTTTAAAAAGGAGCTCAATAGTATATGGTTTTGAAAAGCTAACGGAATAAAAAAACTGGATAGGGAAAGAACAATAATCGAGGTCACAATCGAGGGTAATTTACCCAATGATTTCAAAAATATTACAAATAGGTCACTGTAATATTATACAGGGGGAGTCAACCATTGCGCGGAGTAACTTAATGCCTTGATGATAAGATTTTGTATTATGATATGGTTGAATATTATCCACATTTTAAAAATATTTGGAATTATACAGGGTGCGCTCAGAAAGTAGGGCGCCAAAATAGTACATTTTTTTAAATAAAACCCCCTGTAATTAGAATGCATTTTTGAATTCTACGTGTAATTGTACGTCTTTTTTATTATATGGTTAATATCCGAAAAACTAGTAGTTTTAAAGATAATTCGATTTGTAAAAAAATTAGGCATTTGCAAGTGTCAGTATATTGCAGGGTATTTTGTCAAAATTATACAGGTCGCAACAGCCTAGTTGAGCTCAGAAAGGGTGTGTTCTGCGAATCTGTAACAGACAACAACAAGGGGTAGTGAATAGCGCGGCACATAAAATATTACGTAAGCAATGCTAACGTCTAACACGGAGGCAAGCGGATGTAGAAACTGTAATAATAAATACTCACTACACTACACTACACAAATAAAACGGTTATCTTTACTGATGGCTCGAAAAACCAACAAGGGGCGGGATCCGCCATTGTAGTTGATGGTGTGGTCCACTCCTGGGCCCTAAACCCTATAACCTCGGTGTATACTGCGGAACAGTTTGCATTATGGAAGGCTCTGGTACACATTCCCGTAGAACCTACAAATAAAACATATTTGATAGTTAGAGACTCCTTAAATGCCATAAATGCTGTAAAAGATATATACACGAGAGATCCTCTGGCTCGTTTATGTTGTTTGGTGGACCTGAGTGAGCATAATGTCAGACCTGTTTTTGTTTGGGTACCTGGACATTCTGGCATTAATGGAAATGAAATGGCTGATAGAGCAGCGAAAATTGCAATAACAGGTCCACGAATTGATGAGGAGCATGTCAAAATGACGGACGTACAATGTCACCTTAAACAAAAAATAATAGGAATCTGGCAAGGTAAATGGGAAAGACAAAGTACATCCCTATCACATGTTAAACTATCGGTGAAGGAAAAACTATACCTGAAAGATTTTCGTAGAGATGAACAAATAAAGATACATCGGTTAAGAATAGGCCACACAAATGTCACGCACCAATATCTTTTGACGGGTGATCCCAGGCCGCGATGCAATGCGTGTAATGTTGATCTCTCTGTGAAGCATGTAATCTGTGATTGTGTTAAGTATGTAAATCAGCGTGATAGGTTTAACCTAAAGGAAGATGTTAGAAGCAACCTTAACGAAATACCAAACTTGAAGAATGTGCTAAAGTTCCTGAAAGCAATAGGGATATACAGCAATGTATAAAAATATAAAGTTCTAAAATACTTACTTTTTACTTGGAAGGTATGTGTATGAATGGCGAGAAGACCCAAGTAGTCGAAGCCATACCTAAAAAAAAAAAAAAAAAAATACTCAATAAGAATCATTAATTCGAATGCCTTTATACCAGCAAATTCAGAAGATCAATTTTTCTTACAATCTTCGGGGTATAAAAGCATAAATGTGACACGTTAAATTCAAGAAAAGTACTTCACACGATGCACAAATAATTAAATTTCTATTGGTCCAATCAATTCAAAACGTAACCAAGATAATATGGGCCGATTCTTGGGAGTAGAACAATTAACGTAACTAATCAACTTGTAGATACCGGCTTCGGACAGGGTCTCGGGAATTTCAATCAATTAATATAAAGGAAAAGAAACGTAGTTAAACTAATACAAATGAATTCTCGGAGCCACACAAAAGTAATCGTAGGTAATGTAGATCAAATCGGGTCTCGATAAGCAAATTCTTCAGCAACGACACAGGTAGTGTAAGTAAAATCAGAGTTATCAAAGCAATTTACACGAGTAAAGCTTTCCTAACCGTTCATTAATACAAGTCAAGCACAATTATCAAAGTGTAGGCCAACAAACTCCGTGTGTAAATAGGACATAGGTAATAGTTGGTAGAATTGAAGTGAAATTTGTGCAGCCGGTAACGTAGAAACTCATCTACGGCGTTATTGACTTGATAAAATGGCGGTGGACCTCCCCAAATGATTCTTCCTTGCGCAACATTTAGAAAATACAACATTCAGCGGTTTCCAGGGATGTCGTCGATGTAGAAACAACAATCCGGTAAGTAGGGAACATAGTAGACAACACAAATAAGAAGCCTAAAAATGATTATTCAAAGTGAAATGGTAAATGCGTAATTTTTGTTAACATACCCAAAAAGGCCTTAGAAAATATACCTGCAAATGTCTCAGCTAGGTACAGAAAGCAACATAACAAAAGAAAGCTTCACTAAACTTATACAACACCAATAAAAATCCCCAAAGGCTAAAAATTGTAGTTACAATTGTGTGGTGACATACCTCTACCGTTAGGAAACACACCTTACATTTGATACGAAACGCTCTGTGTATACGACATTCGTAATATCTTCGTCGTCGACTATTTTGCGCCAACGCCGAGGAACAGATCTTTATGAAGACTCTCAGAAAGTTAGCGTGGAACTAGTTGCGATGAATGGGGTAGCGTGTTGATTTTGATTTAAAAGTGTATTTACATGTATAATCAGTTTATTTTTTTTCCTACGAACCACCAGTCCGAATTTCATGTCGTAATTCGTTATTATTTACATTTCTCATAAAATGCTGATATTTGTTTATTGCAGCATGGCATGATCCAAGATTATTACCAGTGTGATATTGACTTGTATGTGTCGATTAAGAATTTATTTCCGTGAGGAAAGAACCTCATGCAGTTGTATTAAATTAATAGTCATGCCCTTTTGATGATGTTTTTATGCACATGCAATTTAGCATTTTACAGATATACAACCTGTTGGTCTAAATGAAGCGTAGATATGTTTAGTGTGATTCTGTATTAAAATTATTTCTCTTGTTTTCCATTTGCTTTTATGTTTTTTTTTATTTGTTGAACAGCACTTTACTTGATATGATACCCGATTTTATATGTGCAACTTGAGATGTATGAATTGTGTATTCCTTTTTTGCATTTTGTTGTCGTAGTTGATTCATTTCTTGTATTGTAGAGTGTTATACCAGGTGTTTCTTCCCAAAGAAAGTTTTTTCCTGGGTCTTTGTTGTGTGCATAATATATCACACTCTTCTTCTCTTTTCTTAAGCACAAAAACTCTTCATTCAATTATCCCAATGTGTCTCACGTCTCAACACATAAAAGAAACCTCCATTGTATACACAACCTAGGAGTTTTATTCGTACCGCCCAGTCCGAGCCGATTGCTACCGAGATTCGTAAGTGCGGTGAAACGTCCGTCGGCGTCGTTTAGGCATGAAGGTTAGATGGCTTTGCTAATTTTTCCCTAGAGTTGCCAACCGTTACGTCATGATAGGAGTGTCAGCCTGGAAGCCCATGTAGTAAGCGTACCGTCCCCCACTCCCAAAAATTAAAATTTTCCAAGAAATCTTTTGACTGTATCAAGATGTTTTTAGGTTACAAGGAATGGTGGTAAAACACCAACTACAATATGTAAACTGTTTATTAGTAAATCAATGCGTCAGAGGTGGGTACGGTTTACCTAACGCGTAAACCATACACAAAAACATCTCGAAACTCTTCTTGCAGATATCCGTTTCGTTTTGCGTCTGCGCTACACACTTCTTTGCAATAGCCGGCGTTACTCCTTTGAGTACCCTCACAAACTCGTCCTCGAGAAGTTCGCCAACGGAATTCATTAGATTGGCCCTCTGCTGTATACAATTGAGGAAACACTTTAGCGCACTATCGTTGGGAATTTCATTCTTAGCAATAGCATTGTAAGCCACTATCGAATCGACTCCTGACGACGCAACGCAAACACTGAAGTCAGGTTCCGCTGCTTTGAGCCATGCTTGTCTTATTTCCAAAGGCATTTTCTGAAAGGATAGTATTAAAAAACTTCAAAGGATTCTTTTACGGAACTATACCTGAACAGCTATTATAGCGGTGATGCAACAGATAAGAAGTAAAACAACTCTCATTGTAGTTTTCACCGAATGGACTTGTATCGGAACTGGCAACCGTGTTTTATTTATACAATTTTTTTGTTATTCCACAATTATCTTCCGTGACATTCTATTTCTTTTACTTGTACACACGTGCGTTTCTTTGGCTGTAATAAAAAAACATATTTTCTCACGTAATAACACAATGATCGTTGTAATGATAAAAATACATGTCTTATTCGTTCGAGAGTTCATGATTTATCAATTTATGGATACTACTACGATACATGACGTGTAAATGACATGAAACAAAGTTGAGTTTCATACATTTCTTAGTAAGGGCAAGTTTTAGGTGGCAGCTTGTAAGTTTTCATATTTACCTTCTAGTAAAGCGTTTTAAACTCTTCATATTCTACGGTGTTGAAAACGGTAACCTTGTCAAGTTGGGTGCCATTAACAATAAAACCAGTTTTGGATGGCTTTTTCAGAAATTAGAAATTGAATAGGAATTTTTCTGTACAAGTGAATCTTTAATTATTAGGTAAAGTCTATGCATTATGTATGTAGATGGTAAAAATAATGAGTTTATCTCGTTTGACAAATATGAAAATCTATGTAGTGAATGAGTATTTTCCAAAAATGTAGAAGAAACTCAAATACTTCAAGAACCGATCGATTTAGGCTTATGGTTCCTTATATCAAATCAAATTGACTCCAACAGTTTCTTTCAAAATTGCTGACCTTTGACTTTTTTCATTCGCTAGAAAGACTGACGGACAAGAATACACTTTCAAGAACCCGTCAGGCCCTTTATATCAAACATAGACCGTTACTTGTACGGTTCCGGCTCAGATGAGAATTCTCTTCACATACCTCGTTTTTAATGCATTCGCATTTGAAGCTTTGAGTCCACCGATGAATACATACCGTCCCTATTCTCAACTTTTTCTGTGTAGAGACTCTTCCGAATCCTTTTTCCGAAAATTCTCGGTCGAAGTGCTGAGCGCACCTACGGAAAGTAACAGGTGGTTACTTTGCCGTCTCAAAAATTTAGTTTTGAATTTGTATTTTGTTCAACATAGAGAAATTACACATATTCCGCTTCATAGTGAACGTGAACGAAAATCTGTCTGGCAATAACAAGCAAAAAACGTATTGGGGAAAGCGAAGATTGTAAGCAATCTAATGTTTCTGATTTTGGGTAATCATTTTTATGTAGCAAATGACAAAACTATGTTCTTTAAGTTACTGTCCCTTTCCTCTAAAATTTATATCCTAAATCCTCCAGTAGGTAACCATTCTGAAGCCACCGGCCGGCACTTGGTACCAGGTCTGTATCAGGAATGCCTGTTTGTATAATCCGTATCAAACCCCAGTCCTAGGGATTCCTGGCTGGTAGTTAGTAACGTTCAGAAATCCATATTATTACCCACCCTTATATTCCAGTCTGCCTGCCATTAATTAAAATCTGTTCAAATTTAATTCAGTTCCGTATTAATTAAGAACTGATTGATTTTGTTAAGAATTATTGCTTTTTTTTTGTTTTAAACGTTCAATTTCCACATTTCATTTTAATTCAAATAATCAATTAGAGGGAATTTACCTCGGATATGGCCATTATGTTCAGTAGCTATCTAATTAACCCCGCATAATATATTTGATTCTTGTTCTGATTATTAAAAGAGGTTAACGATCAACCCTAGGATCAACCACCAATAATTAACCAAACGTCACTAGCTGTATCATCCTGCCGCCAAATTCGTGATCAATTCAGGGAAGTGGGTACAGTCGACGGTGGCGTATACCAATTTAAAGTTGTTATTAAATTAAAATACCCTAAATCTACACCGACGGCAAATATATGCATTAAGCGGTTTCGGATTTTAACTTGTTTCACTACAGAATTCTCCCGCTACTTGAGTTACCGAAACCAGCACTTTGAGCTCTTAATTTTCCCACTCCGATTCCAGTAGCCGTGAAAATTTGGGTAGTAGTTTAACTTCTGGATTGAATTGCCTGAAATTTTATACGTGTAGGAATAGAAGAATTGCAGTAAAATAGCAAGGCCTTCTATTTACAGGTGATAAAATCTACGCAAAGGCACATTTTAGAATCAGAGAACCGATTTGAAAATAAATAACCGGGATTAAATAACCTGAACTTGAAACTCATCATGATAAACCAAGAATTTATTTGTTGGATTGCTAACCGTAACAGCTGGCTAAGATCAAGTTCCGTAAAGTTGAGTGACGTCTTTGGACAGCGTCTTGTGCGATAAATAAAATTTTGTATACAACGGCATACGGTAGGGAATTTAAAGGGTGCATTTTCCGGCAACAAAACGAATTAGACAAAATAAATATCAACACAGCGGAGAATTGGCATTTTATTCCTGTGCATATTGACGATCTCGAATTTTACCTTCGCGAAATTGAAGCCGGTTTGTTTGGATTGGCGATTCACATGAACTCTTCTCCCGACAAACTTTGCATTCATCACGAAGATAACGTAGATAATAAAGAAAACTTGCAAAGATTACTTGAATGACATTTAACTCTGTGGCTATCAACTGGAACGTGTTCTTGGCCCACGTGAAACATAACCCTGAAATCGGGTTTCGTTCAAAATAATAGGAAGGAGGTCTATACAAACGGTAAAATTATAATAGTAGGAGAAATGTAAAGTAAAAGTATTAGAAATGATTTAGGAATTTTGTACAATGCACATAAATCATAAATATAATACTAAAAAAAGAGAGAAATAATCCTTCTTAATGGAAGAAAACACCCTATAAAAACAAGATGGCCAAGAAACATATGAACATGAACATGATTTAGAGATTAAATTTCAAAAAAGTTAAAAACTGAGGGTGGGGGAGTATAAACCTTAAATTAAAGTAAATCTTCCTTTAAACTTCTCCCTATCTATCTAAATAGATGTGTTTTTGCAATTTTTATCAAAATTCAAATGACAACCGTTGGTTCCTTTTAAAATGAAAGCTCTGTATAATACTATTGATTTATTTATTTTTTTATTTATTATTATTCTGGGCCCTGAATTACTGCGCCCAATTACAGAGTGACCCGCATAATGGTGTTGAGAGCTGCCTCTGCAGAGGATCTTAAGTTGTTCTATACTACTCCGGTATTTACCTTACGAATTAGGGAAACTTCAGGAAAACCTAAATCGGAGTAACAAGCAGAATGCTCGAAACTGGTCTAAGGTAATTCCCATCTCTGCCAAAGATGAAAAATTCACCTCAACCCAGACCTCCGGATTTATAGACCAACGATCTACCAGTGAACCACAAAGTGGTAGGTTCTCAAAGAAAAAAGGCAAGGAACACAAACGTACCGGGTGACCCAATAAGACAGTTCCTCGGCCATATCTCGTTTGTCGTATGACTTAGGGGTAAACAAAATTATTGGGTAAATCGATTATGAAGAATCGCTGGAAAATATTTTCAAGTTCTAAAAATGACCACCAGAGGGCGTAACTGCCATCTTAAATTTTAAAATTTCATTTTCTTTAAATTTCTCATAATAAACTAAACATTCTTTTTTTCACATTTTTAGAGAGAAACAGTTTATCTATCATTTTCGTAAAAACAAAATCTCAGTTATTTCAAAAACAAAGATGGCGTGGGGCGTTCAATTGTTTTTGCAACAACCTGCTTTAACTTCTTAACCGTTTGACCGATTGTAACAATTTTGGTATCGTTGAAAAGAGCATTCAAGAGAGATTCAAATCTTCCGCTATTGTTGGTATTTAATGTAAAAGTTTTCTCTACAATTAACGAAATTAATCGCCAAAGAACTGAACAATTTTGAATTATGATAATGCGCTGGCGTTCATTTATTTTCAGAGATGTCAAAAAATAATTTTAAAAAACCCCTTAGTGATTTTTTCCTAGCTTCCTGTTGGTACTAAAATAAAAGTATTGTAGGTTTTGATTAAATCACACCAACCATCTAATTTCATATGGATGCCATATTGGATTTATACGTCACTCCAAATTATAAAAATTGCGATATCAAATATGTACTCAGTATTGCCTTTAGGAATGAATCTTCAATTTTTGCCAGTAATGTATTTCTTATGGCAATGATATCATGGCCGTGTTGATAGTCACTGTGCGAAACAAGTGAATACATTTGTTTTCAATCACAAATAATTTCAAAAAAGCTATGGCATTATTGGCGTAAGAAATATATTGTAAACCCCAAAGCAAACATTCAAGGTGGATTCCCTATGTATTTAGTATCAATGGTTTTGTAATATTTTTCTACTGAGTGACGCGACGTAGAAATCCAATATGTCGTCCATAAGAAATAAGAAAGTAGATGTGATTTACTCGAAACCCACAAAAACGGAAATTACCTAAGAAATTACCAAGGGTTTGTTAAAATTCCTCTTTGATATCTATGAAAATAAAGGGCAGCTCATTCTCGAAAATGACAGTTTTTTTGTTTTTTGACCATAACTTCCCTATTTGTAGAACTACAAAAATCTTTGAAGGGGAAAATTAATCACCATAAAATTCTGTATAACTTTTTCCATTTAAGCGACTTTGTGTCTCTTACGGTTTAAGAGATCTCCATTTCTGAAAATTAAAAAAAATACTCATCCTATATATCTCACAAGTATATCAAATTACCCAGCGGTAGTTTTGCAGGTACTTTACGAAAAGCGCGAATTATCTTGGTACAACTAAAACCACCTCGACGCGAATTTTGCACAAAAACAAAACCACCCTACGGTAATTTACAGGTGACCGATGTAACTGAACTCACAAACCTCCCACTATTTTACTATTTTTATTGACACCTATACCGTGACGTAAACCTTTTTACCAAAACCAATACATTGAATTCCTTGTCGGTCATAAATTAACTCAAGGTGGAGTAATTTTCCGCTTATTCCGGGCTTATTTAACGATTGCTCCATAACGACAAATGCAAAATAAACAAAATCTTTTTTGTAATCTGAACTAATCCCGCTGTATCCCATGACTAACCAGCGCATTAAGTTTTCATACGTATTTAAACAGTCAGGACCTTATTTCAGGACCACTTGCCCACGTAACAGGACCCCCCACAATCAGTAAAAAATAGAAATCAAAATCACTCCATAAACACCTTTTTAGCTTCCAACTCCAGCACGGGCG